AGAATGTGGATGCGTTCTGTTGGCACAGGACTCCTGCTGCCGCGTTAGCTGATTTCGTGAGCCTTGTAGGGGTCGTCAATGCGGTGACACCGTGCTTGACTTGTCGAAGACTATTGACTTGACTACACAAGGCTTTGGGATTGAATGAAAATTTACGCATAAGCTGACGATGTTGCTCACTCTTATCTTCTCGTACAAGATGGACGCATTGGTTCCGGATGGATCGGTAATATTCCCAGTGAGTGGTCGTTGGATGGGAGCGATAGTTTCTCCATGCCGTGTTCCTGGAGGCAATCCATTTCCGTGTACGACTTCGGATGAATGCTGGGCGTCTCTTCCCTTTGGAAACTTCTTTGCACGTCGTCGTAGTGGAGCAGAGTTCACGTAGGGTGAGGCAAAAGCTGGACCACACGCTGCCGGCACTCGATTGGGGCTCGGGTGACCATTTGTCAGCGGAAATGAGAAGGTTCAAATTTATGTAACCAGTCCAGCGTTTGGTGTGCTGACGAGTTTTTTGGCGAAGCATATAAAATCGAAACGGAGGACGCAGTGGTCGCAAAGCCCCAAAGGGACATCATCCTCAACGTGCTTAACCATCAGTTCTTCGTTAGTGAGGAAGAGATCTAGCAGAGATGGTTGGTTGTTGGATCGGAATCTGGTTGGCTGATACGTGTGGTTGTACAACGGGGCCGTGTGAAGAAGATCAATGTGGCCTGATGCAAAGGAGTTAGCAGACGGGACGGAGTGAGATAGACGGGGCACGTTGAAATCACCCATGATAAGAAAGTGTATGCGCTTGTGGGATAACATAAGGTGGACGTCGTGCAGTACTCGTGCGTCCTTCTCGGGTGAGTTGTTATGGAGGCGGTAAATGATACCAAGACAGGTGGTGTTTTTGCGGTTAATACGACCCCGCACCACATGGTGTCTGGAGACTGTAGGGCAGTGTTTGATAACATGCTGCAACTGAGGGAGATGTCATAGTACTGTGCGACACCGCCACCTGGGGTTGTGCGGTCAGAGCGGAGAACTGACATGTGAGGAAGTTGGATTTCACCGTCGGTTATGTGGCCGGAGAGCCACGTTTCCGTTATAGCTTTTAGGTTCGCTGGTGTTGATAGAAGTCGGGATTAGAGCTCCGGAAGTTTGGACATGAGGCCCTGTGCGTTCATGTAGATACAGGTGCGGCCCGTTTGAGTGATGAGTGCTGGAGTAATTAGGGTGCTGCCGGTCAGCAGATGACCGGCAGTGCACCGTTTTTCGGTTTAGAGGGGTGGAGCCGCTAAGGTTTGTAGTTGGGGTAATGAGGTGTGGGTCGTCGGAGCACAGATGGGTGCTGGCGGCTGGGTCATTGAAAGTCTGAGGGTTGGAATGTGTAGGTGCTTAAATTACTCCAGGCAGTGAGGCAGGTGGTTCGGTGGTGGACCGTCTGAAGACGATTTGTGTTATAATCTTCTCACCAGACGCAACTCCAAAAATAACAATTAACTGCTCCACAAAACTTCTAGCCAAACCGAAGGAAAAAAGCAAACGCTAATGACCCTGACAAATAACGTATTAATCACAGCCAACGAACACTGTACAACAACTGCGGACCTTGGCTGTATTTATAGGTCTCTACTGACCTTCGACTTCTAGAATTGGAAGGTCAGCTGCCAAGGTTAGTGGTTCCCCATATCTTTTGCCGAGATGGATTTGATGATTTTGATCACGTGTAGAAGAAGAACGTTCAGGAACGTTCGAGATCGATGCGATAAGTGTTAATAATCGATTAATCGCTAAAATAGGGAATTTCCAAGGCAATTCTTACTTTCTCCCGGACACCTCCCCTCCTGAGATATGTTCCGAGGTGTAATAGGAAAGCCTGGGATTAACTTGCAGCCTTCTGGACGGTGTTCTGTGCCTGTCGGTCCACCTCCTTGGCAGAAGCGCCCGAGAACTTTGTTCCGATGTTCTTGTTCTGGATTCGTTGCTCGACTGTGTGCAGTCGTCCACTGCTACCTTCGGCAGGTTGAAGCTTTCCACCAGTAAATCGAACGGGAGGTCAGTAGGCCTTTCTTGTTCTGGCTGGCACAATGTGGGCCGTAACTGGTTTGCATGCCGTGGCCAGACCTGTGCGCCCACCTTCACGTCATACATGACGTTTCCGCGCTTGCTTTTGACCGTCCCTGGCGTCCATTTCGCATGGCCTTCCCGGTAGTCACGTACTAGCACCTTCTGTCCAAGCGTGAATGATCGCTTCTTTGCTCCATGCCGCCGGTTAAACTCCTGTTCCATTCTGCGGTTTCTTTCACAAACAGAGGACTCCGAGCCCGGTCGGATGGCGTCGAAAGGCATGCGGAGCTTCCGGTTCATCATGGCCTGTGCTGGAGAGACTCCGTCTGGCGCTTGTGGATTCGGTGTTGATCGGTAGAGGAAAAGGAACCGGTCAACCACCTCCTCTATACGTCCCTCCCCTTTTGATTTTTGGAGAGCTCGCTTGAATGTGTCGACAAATCTTTCTGCCTGGCCATTCGACTGTGGGTGAAACGGAGGCGAGCGAACGTGCTGGACGGCGCATTGCTTGCAAAACTCCTTAAACGTTGCTGAAGTAAATTGTGAGCCATTGTCAGTGACCATTGTCTCAGGACAGCCGAATCTGCTAAAGGCTTGGCGCAGTTTCGATATGGTGGCATTGGTGGTTGTGTTATCCATGAGAAATACTTCTGGCCACTTGCTGTATGAGTCGACTATAATGAGGAAACTTCTCCCGTTGATCGGCCCTGCAAAGTCGACATGGATGCGGCACCACGGCTTAGTAACTATTGGCCATGAACAGAGTTCTGCTTTCGGTGGCGCTTTCAAGACATCGGCACACTTTTGGCAGCGTCTGGCTATTTCTTCTAACTGTTTGTCCATTAAGGGCCAGTATACATAACTGCGGGCAAGCGCCTTCATCCGGTTGATTCCAGGATGCCCGGCGTGGAACTGTCGAATAAGGCGCTCCTGAAGTGCCTTGGGGATGACCACTCTTTCCGAAAATAGTATGCAATCGTTTACAATAGAGAGTGAGTGTCTCCTCTGAAAATACTGTTGCAACTCGGCAGATGGACATGAACGTGGCCAACTTGTTTTGTGAAACTGAGTAACCTTCTTGAGTATTGGGTCCCGAAGTGTTTCGGTCCGTACAGCTTCTGCGGTAACTGGTAGACAGTGCAGTGCATCAGTTACCAGAAAGTTGACGTCTGGTTCAATCTCCACCGAGGCAATGATTGTGTCTTCATGTTCTTGCTGACGGGTATCAATTAGGCGTGACAGTGCATCTGCTTGGCCAATGGAAACTGTCGACTGATATTGGATCTCGAAATCATACCCCATTAAGGTAAGAGCCCAACGTTGTAGCCTGTTGGCTGTGTAGGCCGGGATGCCCTTTTTCGAACCAAAGATAGCGAGCAAGGGTTTGTGATCTGTCAGAAGCTTGAAGCGGCGGCCGTATAGCATTTTGTGGAATTTCTTAACCGCGTACACTATGGCCAATGCTTCTTTCTCGATCTGGCTGTAGTTCTTCTCGGCCTTCGTAAGTGTTCTGGCGGCATGGGCGATTGCTTTTTGAGATCCATCGGTGTATGTGTGTGCAATTACTGCACCAATCCCATGGCTTGATGCATCTGTGGTTAGGACGATCTCTTTGGAGGGATCGAAATGTGTCAAAAGCAAGTTTGAAGACAGCAGTGACTTGACCCGTTCGAAGGCATTCTGGCATTCTGATGTCCAGTTCCAAGGTTGTCCTTTGGCTAATAGCTTGTTTAACGGGGCACGCAAGCGGTGCATCTCAGGCAAGAATGCGCTGTAGTGGCTGATGAGCCCACAAAAGGAACGCAAGGACTGTAGATCTGTGGGTGGAGGCATTTTTCTAATGGCTTCGATGTTTTCCGGGTCTGGTCGACGTCCATCCTTTTCGAGGATAAACCCGAGGTATTTGATGAGCGGCGTGAAAAATGTGCATTTATCCTCACGGATCCGGAAACCGTACGACTGTATGCAACCAAGCACTTCATCCAAGCGGTTGAAGAGTTCTTCCGGTGTTCGACCCATCACTATGATATCGTCCAGATATGCAGCGGTTCCAGAAACTCCCGCTAGCATGGTGTCCATCAACTGTTGGAAGATGGCTGGCGCCGTTTTCACACCAAATGGCAAGCGGTTGTATTGGAATAGCCCACGATGAGTGTTGATCGTCAACAACTCCCTCGAGACTTCGTCAACATCCACTTGCAGATAAGCATCGGATAGATCAAGCTTAGCAAAGTACTTACCACCATTCAACTTTGCAAAGATATCCTCCGGTACAGGTAAGGGGTACTGGTGGTCGTCCAGCGCGGCGTTGAGGCCAGTTGAAAAGTCAGCGCAGACGCGTACCTTGCCATTTGCTTTCTTCACTGCGACAATAGGTGCGGCCCATGATGAGTAGTTGACGGCTGTGATGACTCCGGCACGTTCCAGTCGATCGAGCTCTTGCTCAACGGTTGACATGGCTGCATATGGTACCGGTCTTTTAGCCTTGAACACTGGTTTAGCACCTGGTCGCAAGTTCAGTGTTGCCTTGAATTTCGTACAGTGGCCCAAGCCATCCTGAAAGACAGAAGCAAATTTTCGCTTCAGGGTACGTGTCATGTCTTCGACGGACTTTGCAGATGGGTCTGGACTTGCTCGAACTCGGTTGCAGATCTGATTCAAGGGAACATCGAGGAGGTTCAACTTTTCAATCCAGTCGAGGCCAAGAAGATTCAAATTCGGCCGGTCCTGAAATGTAGCATGTTCCCGACTTCTCCACACCTTGGAAAGCAATCTTGCAATTGAGTTCGCCCACTAAGTTTAACACACCGCCGGATGCATTATGTGCAACTTTCTGAGACTCGACCATCTTCGGCCTCTTTATGTGATTCCATGTGCGCCTGGAAATGATTGTGATGTCTGAGGCCGTGTCAAATTGCAGTTTCGTTGGGATCCCATTGATTAACACAGTGATGAATCGTCGTCTCGGTTTACACTCGCTTTGGAATGCGGCAACTATGGACAGAGACTCAGCGCCGTCCCTTCTAGAATTAACCTTTCGATAAGACTTCTGCACTTTCTTCGACCGGACTTGACTGCAGCATTCCTCTTTATGCCCACGCTTATGACACGTTTGACAAATATGATGTTTGAAGGGACAAAAGCGAGCGAAATGCCATTCGCCGCATGACCAGCATGCTGTGGGCGGTTTCTTCGTAGGCCTCTTGAAGGGTTTGCTTGCGTTGGCGGTCCTGGTCTTTTTCACGAGTTGCACGGTATCTGCTGGTGCGAGACCATTGCGTTCGACCATGGCAGTGTCGTGTTTTAGAGTGAGAAGCCGTTTGCATTCGCTTACGAGGGCCTTCAGTGTCAGATCAGGATCCTGCTCCAGCTTAGCTAAAAGCCGCGTTCGGATCTCAGCATCACTGGGCGATTGTAGAGCACTGACGAAAATGAGACACTTAAACTGATCGTCCGTTAAAGAGCGTAGTTTGAAACGTTCACACTCACGGTTAATCATGTCTGCTAAGGCCCCAAAGTCGTCAGATTCCTGTTTGACAATTTTCAGGCATTGATAGCGAATACTAAACAAGGACACCGACTCACCAAAAATTTCCTTCAACTGCGACACTGCTTCGTCAAATGTCAGATCCTTCGGCTGTTTGGGCAAAATGTGGTCTATGAACCTTGAATGTTCACTTATTCCGAGCTTGCGGAGTAGCAATCGCACCTTCCAGGAGTCGTCCTGACGAATGAAGTCCGTCTGGAACATGTCTTCCCAGCGTTTGAACCACGCTTCGAAAGTGCATCCAGAATCCGCATCATAATGGAATTCAGTGATGGCGTTCGTGAGAAGATCAACAGAACTCGCCTGCGTGTCCCGCGTCGCTGCTCCAGTTGTCTGCAAACTCAAGCATTTTGTCAGATTTTCAATCATTTTCATTTGCGCCTCCATTTGAGCTTGCTGTTGAAAAAGCAGCTTTTGAAATTGTTCAGCAGAAAAATTCATCACATTTCCACTTTTCTCCGTCGCCATTTGTTATAATCTTCTCACTAGACGCAACTCCAAAATAACAATTCACTGCTCCACAAAACTTCTAGCCCAACCGAAGGAAAAAAGCAAAACGCCAATGACCCTGACAAATAACGTATTAATCGCAGCCAACTAACACTGTACGACGACTGAGGACCTTGGCTGTATTTATAGGTCTCTGTTGACCTTCGACTTCTAGAATTGGAAGGTCAGCTGCCAAGGTTAGTGGTTCCCCGGTGTCACGTAGTGGCAACCATAGAACTGCAAGAAATATGGGCAATGTAAAAATAAGTGGCCTCAATTTTACGGCATAAAATACGACTATGTCTGGTATTTTCCAAAAAACGGCTAATATTTCTGCACATGATGTTAGTTGCTACTTTAAGTGAGGTCAAATGAAAAGGTCGTATTTAGCTGTTATTTCGGATTGCAACCATGGAGGCTGACTTCAGGAGCACCTTTGTTGGGCATTCGTTTCATAGCTTTGATGAATTCTATTCGCTTTTTACCTCATTTATGCATCGGAACAACGTCAATTTTGTTTGCTGTAGCAGCAAAAGAAGCAAGTATCATAGCGTGAGGTATGATCGCATCGTTTATAAACGCGTGCGCTGTAAGCGCCGGAAAACAAGGAGCAAAGGAATACGGCGAGTCTAGTATGTGGTTTATGATGTTGTTAACCGTCAAATTTAGTTCCAGAGACACCGATTGCAGTGCTCGTGTCAATGTTGCTCGGGATGGCCGTAGGCTAAATGTGCTAACGTTCCAGCTCTCCCACAACCATAGATATGACATCGACTGCACAAATGGCACATGCACTTGCGCATTTTACGGGCACATGTGGGTACCGTGCGTCCATATATTGATGTTATATAAGGAGAATCAACATCCGGCGGGTAAAACAACGATTATGTTTCATTCTCTTTTTAGAAAGCATCCCTATCCGTAGTCGATGGTTAGCGAATTACAACATGCCGGAGGATTCCATGTTGCTTCGGACTTTGAAGGTAGCCACCTCAAGGCAGCCGAATTCCAACGTAGCAAAACTGCTTGCTCGGCTTAAGTGCCTGGAAGACGTGAACCCCCGGTGCAGTATCCGGGTTTATCGATAGCCTCATTCAACAAACTGATGAGCTCATAGACGTAGCACCAGGTGCGCCCGTCGTAAGTGATAAGCCACACTGCCAACCATCGCGTAAGCAACCGCGGTGGCACAAAGCCGGTAAGTTGACTACATTTTGCTTCGCTTGTGGTGAACCGGTTGCAGGTACGGGCGTTCATTGCGTGCACAACGGGCAACTGTACCACCGTAAATGCTTGGTGTAGAACAAAACCGACGGTTGCAAAGTTTGCTCCAGCGGTTCCACTTCCCAAAAAGCCGTCACATAGTAATAACATACGTGAGTTGGAATCAAGTAATTTAGTTTCAGCTATGCGCCGTACACCATCTCCGAATATAACCACATCATTTACCCCATCTACTTCTCCGGCGTACGAAGGCAAGCGCTTTGATATAGCTTTTCACCTCCGCTCAGACACTTCGGATGGTTGTGACGCGGTACCCTGTTGCAGCTATGTATATGTGTCACATAGTACGGACAACGCACCCGCTATGCCTATACGCTTACCAAATGAGACGAACACCTCGGCGGAGCTGCAGCCTATCTGCAAACCTGCGTTTGAGTAAGTCATAATATTTTGTTACCTGCATCCTCAGTGTAGATCTGGATTCCACTGCAAATGAACCCTTTGCTGGAAAGACAACCGTTTTAAGAAGCACTTTCATGATCTGCTTGCCAGACAGTAAGTTCTGTGCCATTGTCATTAAACCACTGCAGCCGATGATTACGACTTTGCCTAACTGCGTGAAGACCAGCCTGTGAGAACGCAAACTTGGCCCTTTTTAGGGCCACCTCCTGTTTCGTTGCCGTGTGTTTCCCTCTTGCCAACCCGACGCAACTGCTCGGTTGACGGCATTGATTGGAACATTTGGTAAATGAATCGGACGGTGGCTCTATAATCCTCGCAGGAATGGCCTAATTGTTGTTTAACTGGGACTCCAAGCCCATGCATTCCGTGTTCACTATGCTTTCCTTTAGGTACATTACTTTTACCCCACTCCTTAGTGATCCGCTATGTTGACGTGACGCATATGACGTGTCCGGCACATTTGCGTGAGCACTTTGAATGGGTCTGAACGACAACGTTCCCGGAAATGTTATCTGTGCCCATACCTTTCTTGACAATTCCGTTAACATTTGCATTTAACCATAGCCGCATCGTCCCAGTACTGTTAAAGAGCTAGCTATGGATGCCTCCTGATGGTGCTCTTGCAATGAGCTTTTGGCCCCCTGTCTGGACAGGTAAACGAAGGCATATGTAGGCTACTGTATCACCAGGGCATCAGGTCTGTGATGATATGTATAGAGGCTCCGAGACCTACCTTCTTGGTGATACTGCTACGAGACCTACGTAGGCTACTGTTGCACCAGTGCAACTGGTCTGTGTTGATATGTATAGAGTCGCCGAGACCTACGCCATTGCTGCTAGTGCTAAGAGACCTACCTAGCCTAGTGTATCGCCAGTGCAACAGGTCTGTGCTGATAGGTATTGAGGCTCCGAGAATTACATTCTTGGTTATAGCGCTAAGAAACCTATTTACCTTGTGAGGCCCTAGTGCTAACTAGCTTCCGAATTTCCGTTTACATCCTGACAACTGGCTCACCACATCCCACATGCCCTCCACTAGGCTTGTGATGCCCCGTGACCCATAAACATCTCACATGCCAACATGTTCATTCCTTCATCACATGCTTGAAGTGACTGTGGACTTGCATTGTTATCATTACACTGAACACGTGGGCATAGGTCTGCTTTGCAAAACTAGTGGGGCCCTATGGACTGCGGTGTGCACTTCCTCTACTCAGTTTAGTTGTTTTGGCATAATGAGTATATTCTTACTGAGGCTGGCAATAGGTGTCCATTTAACACCCCGTGACGTTACTCTACATGAAGTCAGCTACGCTGCTGACAATAATATAAGGAGCACACGGACGCATCCTCCTTGGATAGATCGTACCGGTAAATACCTGCTCACGAAGCGCTCTAAATGCTGCCGAATTTACCAGACGGCTTCATCAAACAAAACCTACTGAACCTACCAGGCGGTTAGCAATAAATGTAAGCTAAATATCAGCATGGCTCGTCTTTACTTATCGTTGAAATCGTAGGGGATGTCTGTATCCTAGCAATTCATTCGATACCAGTGCTTAGTACTGTGGTACTGTGTTGCATAGATTAGCATCCTTTAATGAAAGTTGTTTACCAAACCTACTTCTCCCACATTGTAAATTATTTTAGTAGCAACTACCTCAAGTTCAATTTCAACTGGGACGGGAACGATAGGATGAATCCCGTAAGTGTTCCTTCTTGAGCGGGTCGTCGATCCATTTACTTAAGTAAATGAGGTAATTACCTCCTGTACAGCCACAATTACATTTACAGATAGCTCGATGTATTCTGCTCACGGCGACGGTTAATTTTCTAACTAAATTTGCCATTAATCCTTGAGTTCACTGAGTAGTAGAGAGCAGAAGAGAGGCCCGTGAAGGCTTCTTCACTTCGTCGTGAACCGGTATCTCTATCCATGTCTAGACAGCTGGTGTATTACTTTCATTACTTAACATTTCACTGTAACCTGATAACCTCTACAACCCTTTTATGTATCATAATACGACCACAGAGCTTTCCAGAATACGATCAGAACCTTCTCCATGCGAAATGGATCTCAACGGTATGCTTCAATGAATGGACAATCATTTTGACTGTCAATAAGCTACTCACAGCTACCAGATAAATATCACCTTATTGCTTCGTTTTCCAAAGAAGGAAGAATGATATTGTGTGATTTTTACCTACCAGATTGTAACTCATCGACCTTCACATTTATTGACATCTTTCATTTTTGTGCTAACGGTTACCAATGGTAATCATCATATCGGTGCATTAAAACATACATTTTCAGGTTAAGCTGACTAGAAAGTACACATCTCCACGCAATTCTAATCACCTTGTAGCGACCTGGAGATTCCCCCGTATGACTGCGTAAACTATTATAAAATACATTCAAATTATAGCTTTCTTATGTATTAGGGAATTAGGCAGTTTGCCTGTTGAAACCTTGTTCCCGTTTGTTGAAAACACGAACGCTATCTCTGCCTTTGGCGCGCGCGACTCGATTGCGAACGACGCTCTGTCATCGCACTCGACGCCATCGACATTCTCCCTAGCTAGCTCTCTCCGGGTGCCCTATTTTTAGCATTAGCTAACGCTCCTCCCGTCCAATAAACTTTTCCCTAGCTTACTGTTGCGTCTTCCATCCATTATTTTTGGTTGGCCGTCTAGTCGCGTACCGGATATATAGCGCACGATCAACGCGCTATAACCTTATTGCAGCCAGTCGGATAGCATCGCCATCTTGAATTCATACTGTTTGCCTTGCCACTAGTGGCCAGCGTGTATAGTAGTGCATGCCAGACACGTTGAAGAAGGTGGCCACTGGAAGGAGACTGGTAGGTGCCTTAAGAAGATCATTCCCTCGAATAACTCCCGAGATTTTTCGACCGCTGTTCACTTCGTACGTCCGTCCAGTCTTAGAATATGGCCTACCAGCTAGCTATCCGCTTTCAAAGTTTGAAAGCGCTGTGCTGGAAAAGGTTCAGAGACGTGCATCAAAAGCTGTTCTGGGGCTAGGTGATCTTCCGTACCCCATTCGACTCCAGAAGCCAAATCTGTTCTCCCTCGAGCTCCGCCGTCGCCGAGGTGACCTCATCTACACTAGACGCATCCTCCGAGGGGAACTTGGAAGTAAGTTACAACAATTCTTCCGCCCCAACACTGACTGTTTCACCCGAGGGCACACATGGAAGCTCTTTAAGCAAAGAAGACACAAAATTCGCAAGGACGTCGCCCTATCCACTAGAGTGGTGAATGACTGGAACAGCTTACCAGAAGCAATTGCAGACGCTCCATCCGAGCAAA